CTGTCAATTCCTATCTTAGAATCTATTTTGATGAGCATAATTATCTTTGATTACATTTTAATACTATTTGACTTAGCTGATGCAAATCTGATTCACATTCTTCAAACTGTATGGTACTTCAATTAATTCTTTCAAAGAATATTTCCTCTGACATTGATATTTTGGCATTAGAATTTATCAACAATAAGCAAATTAGTAGAGTTGATGTGTCTGTTCTTAACTAAGAGCTTATTTTATTTAACTGACAGCAGCTGCATTTATAAGATTACTGTTACATTAAACAGTGTTGAAATAAACTAACAATTAGTCTTTTAAGAAGAGGACATGATAATTTATTTCATCATGCTCATAAAATACTATTCTGTAGAGTTAACAACCTCTAATGACAGAAATAGTTATCAGTTCATTAAGCAAATCACACTCAAGACCAGAAGTGGTAGAAGAGAGCAAAGACTTGTTGATTATACTATGTTAGTGTTAAAAGGAACTTCAGAGACTGTGTTATGAATACTACTTTACAAATGACTCTATCAAGCAAAACAAACAAACAAGAACAACAAATGAAGTTAGAGAAAAATTGATACATTTGTCTCAGGACTATTTATAAATTATGTTAGTTCAATGGTTTTAAACCCAGCCATCTTCTGAGGAGCTCATGAAACACATTGATGTTGACCTTGCAGTAGAGAACAAGCAAAGAGGATTGTAGTGAGGTGGACCTAGAAGACCTTTACAGGCTTCCTAAATGCTTCTAATGTGCAGATTAAGAAATACTATCTCCTGTCACACACCACATTAGTTCATGAACTTCAGTACTTAGATCATTTTCATAATTGATTTCCTTTTGCTACAAACTAGAAATAATGCTTACATGTGTCTAGTTATTTTAAAACAGAAACATCTTTTGAGAACTAAAAAGTGTTAAAGGGAACATATTTAAAATGCTGTAATAACGAATGTATTATTTTTTAGGGAAAATGGGGGGAGTAATAGAAAGCCAAGACACTCCTGGATAAATCATCTCTGAGTAAATATAGTCAAATTTTGTGAATGGCAGTATAATAACAAATATATTTCTCACAGCATGGTAGGTATAATATAAAGTCCAAATTGCTTAAGGATGAATCAGTGCTGAGCAATTAGCATCAAAGTAATCTAAGTATATTTAATCATTATCCCCTCATGAAAGTATGGTCAGAACTTACTGAATATAGCTGATTGTCACAAAAATAAGACTTATGTAACCCTATCATCTGAGCATCTAAATGTCTTGGGCTGTGTAAGGGAAAGAAACCAGTGTAATAAAGATCAACAGTCAATAAATATTTTAGTAGAGCCAAACTCATTTTTAATGTCAACATTAGGATTAAGCAACACAATTTCTAATAGTAAAGTTTTTAAAACAAAAGAGAATTTACAACAAATGAAAAATATGGAAATAGAATTATGCATCTTATGCACTGCAAGGTTTTTTCTTATTTCTTCTGGTTGTTGTCATTAATATCTTATTTTGTTTCTCATAAAATATAATTGAAGAGGAACTTTAAAGTCAAGCTGGTGAGTTTACATGAGGAGCATTAATTTTACCAGCAGTAAAATTATTTTAATTAAGGGATTTTTCTACCAACTAAATGAAGTGTCTTACACGCCCAATCAATTCTCACCAATATGATTACCCTACAAAGAAGGATGGTAATTAATTAGAAGAAGCCCCTTCAAGGACAATTGGTCTATAGTGCAGGACTTGAGAAAGAGCTGACAGGCACTGCTTCTTTTCAGTGTCATCATTTATGTTAATTATATGTATTAATAGGTTTGAGAAAAAGAGCTACTGACAAAGTGGATAATAAGTTGTGGATTGAAATAAGACAATGTGAATCATGCTTTAAAAAAGATGAAATCATGGCAAAAAATGAGAGAGAGAAATTCTCTGAACATCAATCCTTAAGAACATCATTATTAGTTTACTAATATAAATTAAATATATACATTTCTAACATATTATATCTACTGGTAGACAGTTTTCATAAACAAATAGTGACTCTTGCATTTGTGAATTGATGTTTCAAATGAATATTTATTCCTTCTATTTTTTCCTTTAAGTAGTTCATTCTACTTTTTGTGGAAGAGCTTGTAAGATATTAATTATAATGTATTCATTGTAGTCTTTTGGTAAATTTATAGTGATTATTATATGAGTATAAAATACTGTATCTTGAAAGCAATCTTCATCAAAAAACATTTTTATCACCATATTGTTCCAAATTCAACTCTATTTTTGTCAAATGCCCACTATCTATACATCCATTTAGGATTTTAGGGCTGTAGATAAAATTTAGGAAGAAAAAAATATTTTAGCTGGGTGTGATGGTACTTGCAATCCCAGAAACTCAGAGGCTGAGGCTAGAGGATCCCAAGTTTGAGATCAACCTTAATAACTTAGTGAGACTCTGTCTCAACACAAAAAAAGTAAAAAGGGATGGAGGGGTAAAATAGTTCACTGGTAAAGTAAATCAACCTTGGATTCAATCCATAGTACCATAAAAATAAACAAATAAAAAGGTTGTGATACAACTTAATGATAAAGCATCCATGAGTTCAGTCTCAGTACAACACACATAAGTTTTATTTTAAAAAATAAATGCAGTTGAGAGATTTTCACCCATATTGCATATAGTAGTTAGTTTCAAAACAAGTACAAAGAAATAAAGATTATCAATAAATATATAAATGAAAAAAGAATTATATTTCTCAAATAGATTGGATAAATGATATAAAGAAAAAAAAGATTTCATGTAAATAGTAGTTAAAATATATAAGACTGAATTAATAAAAACATTCAAGTTTTAAATAGAGAATTTTAAAAATATTACTATAATATAGATACATGCTTACACAATCTGAAAAAAGAGTTTAAATATACACAATGCTGTAATATATACTGCATGATGGAGGAACAGTGCCGTCAGATATGAATGTATATGGTATAGCTTCAATAACAAAAAATCATGACATTGTTGCACTAATAGTCAAGGAATACACCTACATACAATGTTCCAAAATAAAGCCAAGTCATTCAGAAAATTTGGCATACACTAAAATGGCCCTCTAAATCATTAAATTATGTAAGGACTGTCAATAGTCAATTTTAAACAACTAAATAGCTATCTGAAAAAAAAGATACATCTTGTATATGCCTTCCATCATTCTCTGGTTTAAATTCAAATAAATATTTTAAATGTAAAAACATACAGAAGTACAAGAGAAATGTTGGTTAATAATATGTAAATTTAAATGGGGAATGTCTTTATAGCTACTGTTTAAAATTTAGAAGCCACAATGAAAGGACTGGTGACTGACTACCTGAAAAGTAAAAATATGTGCTTATCATAGAACTCAAAAGACAAAAAAAGAATTGTAAGGACATTTAATTTCATACAAGATCTTTCATAAATCTGTAGATTTCATAAAAAAACAACAACAACAAAAAAACATCAGTGCTTTACTCAGCAAGTCACTAAATGTCAATTATTCCTAGAAATTAAGAAGCAAAACACCAAAAGAAACAAACAACTGATAATCAGTCAGTAATACAAACTTGTGATTTACATGAGATGACAGAAAGTACCCTTAAACATGTGGGGGAGATGCTCAGCTTAATTCA